TATTTTAATTATTTAAATATTATTTTAACCCGTTGACTCCGGCGTTGACCGTTGACTTCCGGCGAAATCTGTTGACTTCCAGCGTTGACTCCAGCGTTGACCGTTGGCAACTAATCTTCCAACTAGGTTAGTTCTCTGTAGTTGCTAGGTTAGTTCTATGTAGTTGTTAGACTAGTTCTTTATAGTTGTTAGGTTAGTTGTCTGTAGTTGTTAGGTTAGTTCTATGTAGTTGTTAGGTTAGTTCTCTATAATTGCTAGGTTAGTAGTTGTTAGGTTAGTAGTTGTTAGGTTAGTTTTCTGTAGTTGCTAGGTTAGTTTTCTGCAGTTGCTAGGTTAGTTCCTATAGTTGCTAAGTTAGATCTTTGTAGTTGCTAGGTTAGTTCTCTGTAGTTGCTAGGTTTGTTTTCTGTAGTTATTAGGTTAATTCTCTGTAGTTAGTAGGTTAGTTCTCTGTAATTGCTAAGTTAGTTATCTGTAGTTGCTAAGTTAGTAGTAGTTAGGTTAGTTCTCTGTAGTTGTTAGGTTAGTTGTCTCTAGTTGCTAGGTTAGTTGTCTGTAGTTGCTATAAACTGTCCGCATTTTAAGAGCTGGCCGCATTTGATCCGTCCCCAATATATATATATATATATAGGGGCTGGTTCAAATAAAAACTATGTCTGGTGTGAGAATCGTGAGAACCATATTTGATGCTATTTTTAATTGTGTATGATGCTATTTTTAATATTACATGGTGCTATCATTTTCATAAATGCTAATAAAAATTTTGTTGCTATTTTTAATCAAATACATCCTAGTTAAAAATAGCACTAAAACACAATTAATCATAGCACTACATACAATTAAAAATAGCGGTTCTCACGGTTCTCACACTAGGACTTGGTTCTCATTTGAACCACATCCTATATATATATATATATATATATATATATATATATATATATATATATGTATATATATATATATATAGGGGTTGGTTCAAATAAAAACTAGTCCTGGTGTGAGAACCGTGAAAATCATATTTCGTGTTATTTTTAATTGTGTATAATGTTATTTTTAATCTCACATGGTGCTATCATTTTTACAAATGCTAACATCAATTGTCTTGCTATTTTTAGTAAAATACATCCTGATTATAAATAGCACTAAAATACAATCAATCATAGCACTACATACAATTAAAAATAACGGTTCTCATGGTTCTCACGCTAGGACTTAGTTCTCATTTGAACCAACTAGTGTGTAGCCCGTGCGATGCACGGGAACAATATTAAATTAACAATATTATAAATAGACCTCGAGTTTGAGTCAATGGCGGAAGTGAAAACTACTATTGATCGTATTTAAAAAGAGGAAAAAAAATAATTATAAATAAAAGAGGAGGATAAACAATACTTAATAATTATAAATTAAAGATTCGGGGTCAAACAATGTAAAATGATTTTGTATAAGAGAATATAAAAAAATTTGATTACACACCATTTCAAAATTATCATTATACTTTTTTGTATGGTTAGCTTAGAATATTTGTAAAAATATTAGTAATTAGACCGATGAAAATTAGCTTCTTAAAGTAGATACTGGATTTCTAATAGTAATTATGAATTAGTTTCTATTTTATTATTATTTTTTTAAAGATAATGATATTCTAGTAGTAATTATGAATTGATTTCTATTTTATTTTATTTTCAAATCTGTATAGATAAGAGATGAGATTTTTTAAACACCTAAGATCGTATGCAATGAGATTTTGTAACAGAAGAGATAAGCTCGTGTAGATTTATACTAAAAATAGGAAAAAAAAAATAAATATTTGTTGTTAAAACGATAAACTAAGAAACAGGAAAAAGAGAAACAAATCTTTACACAATTAATGAGCGGATTTTTTTGCCTATTCAGATTTGTCCTACAATTACTATATATAGGATATATTTAATGATTTTGGCGGGAAAAAGTTTCTAAATTTGTAAAATGGTTATTCTTTTTATATAATGATAGAATCCTATATATATATATATATATATATATATATATATATATATATATATATTATTTATGTGTTTTTACGTAAAAAGCACACTCGAGCACTCTTCCGCACACTTCACACACAATTAATTATGAAAGATTAGCATCTCCTCTACATAATAAATTGGTGGGATATATAATTTTATTCACATATAAAATAATTGTTACTACACCAGGCATAGTACGTGTGAATGATGTTCACTCAACATATAAATTGTTAACAATACTAGTGTTGTTAAACAAAACTTGTAAGTTCAAATTCGACTCGAAAAGATAAATTTCTACATAATTTATTCTAGTTTAACTGATTAAAATTTGAGCTTGGTTCGTTAATATTGATAAACAAGTTAGGTTCAACTTGTTAATGGTTCGAGTTCAAGCTCAAGTACCATAAGTTTGAGCTCGACTCGACTCGTTTATACCAACTTATCAATAGAGTGCAGTATTGATGTTGTAATAGGATATTCTTTTAGCTTTTCCTCAATTTAATTTATGTAGGAAAAATTTAAAATTTAGTCCAACTAATCTAAAATAATTTAATAGTAAATCATTGAAATTGTAATAGGATATTCTTTTAGCTTTTCCTCAATTTAATTTATGTAGGGAAATTTAAAAATTAGTCCAACTAATCTAAAATAATTTAATAGTAAATCACTGAAACAAAAGTATGTGTGAATAACGACTACAAATAATTGCAAGTCAACCTACATTATTTTCATAATTTCATCACAAATCTATACTTATATAAACGGAGATCCTATTTACTATATTTAATATTCAGAAAAGTCAACTGCATGAAATGACATTACTATTCCGGTATTCATATTTTATTTAACTGATTTATTTATCTATATATATAATAAGATACTCCCTCCATTTTGAAATATAAGGCATTTAAGGTTATTGCACAAATATTAAGGAGACATTAATTAATGAATAAATTGACTAAATTAACCTTATTTACACTAATCACAACCACTCCACACTTCCTTAATTTCAACACAATGAGGGTATATTTGGAAAAAAATGCAAAAATTTGTCTTGATTTTTTAGCGCGCCTTATATTTCAAAAAAAATGAGAAATCTTTATACGCCTTATATTTCAAAATGGAGGGAGTACCATTTTTAAAAAATGGCAAGTCAACTATATGGTCAAATTCTCTCATCATTAATTACTTTCCATTAATTACAATTTATTTATTTATTATTTCTTAGCAAAAACGGACCAAAATTAATTGATTCCCTTAAAATGTGGAAGTTGTTGATTTATTTTTGTACAGAAAATCAGGCTTCATTATAGAAATTTGTTCAATTACACAATGAATTTGATATGATATAGTTATTTTTTATGGGAACTTTTTTTTTAACAGAAAAATATGGCATTTCAATAAGATTTTCGATTTTTTAAGACTGATTGTTATCACGCTATGAAATTGAACATTCCAATATACCTTAACAAAATATACACGTGTTGTATACATCAGTTAATAGAAATGTAGAATCCTCATATTTTTATATATATGTATGTAATTTTCTATTACCAAATTTAATTGATAGTTGTTGTGTTATGGGTTTTTCATAATTGTTACTTGGTTGTTGTGATATTTAGTTTGGTTGGTGTCGCAAAAATTCTAATCTATATATATAATAAGAATAATCATTATAATGCAAATTAAAAAAATATTGATATTAGAAGAGATTGAGTTCATGGCTTTTCTTACATCAAAGTTGTTTAATTAGTATACAAAATTAAATTCTAAAAAATATGTGTATATTTTGTACATTATTTATACACTATTTAATTTTAAATTTATTTACATATTTTAAATTGATTACTTATATAAATAATACCAACGTGCATTAAATATATTTCATTACATAAAATAAAAAGAACAAGAAGACGTGCAACTTCTATAACTTTATAAATAATAATAACATTATATGGTAACAGAGTTTATAGTAAAATAATAATTGACTATTATATAGTGAACAAGAATAAGTAAAATTGTTATTTTCTCTTATATCAAGGAATAAATATATATAATAAAATTAAATTTATATTAGTATAAATGTGTTAGTGAGATAATATATTAACTATTTTACAAGTTAGCCCTAACATGCTCACGTTTAATATTCTGACTAATAAAACAACGCTGATTAAAAGATGTGAAAAATAGATTACAACCCTATTTTTTTAGACTTAACGGTGATTAAAAGAGATGGAAAATGGATGATAACCCTTCTCAGACTTAAATGGACAGAACCTGTGAAAATAACTCATTTAATATCTGTCTCGTGTATCGCACGGGGTACGTACTAGTTTTATGAAATCACGAGGGAACATTTTATGGTCTATTTTTGTTTTTAATTCCGAAAATAAATTAATCTACTAATAGTTTTCATAGGTAAGCTATTAATAATGATAGATAAGGTGTGATAAATAAATTTGAAATTGTATGCAAGTCTTTATATTTTAAGTAATTTGTGTGATCGTTGTAAATTCTAAGTAAATTTTAAGAATAAATTATAACTCATATGTAAATTTGAAAAGTAACTTCGAAAAAATGAACTTTAAATCAACTATTTGTTGCCATAAATATTGGTTCACAGCAAGAGTGTCTTTGTACTTCTCAAAGACATAAATCAACTAGTTTGAGTGTCTTTTGAAGAAAAGAAAAAAAAAAAAAAGAAAGAAAAGAAATGGGTCTCCATGTTTGAAGTAGAGAAAAAAATGTACATTTTTATATATGTCCTAACTCGTCAATGCCCCCGCTTTTATGCTATATAGAATATAGATGCCATTTTTAAGATAGAAGAAAGAAAGACAAAAAAGGAGAATTTCTCGCCTGCATGCCCAAGTGAGTTTATATACATATACAAATTAATATATTGTAGTTCAAAAAAGTAAAAAACATATTTATGTCTAGGAACAGTGATGTGCTGGAATTCATTGTCTATATATATATATGTGTGTGTTTGTGAGCTTGAATATTGAGAACATATAACTAACACTACAGAGGTGAGATCTGAAAGTGTGGATACACAAAATATATTTATAAATATATAACAGAGATAGAAAAGGTGAGATGAGGAAGTCGGAGAATAGCAGAAAGCATGGGATTGCACCACCGTGTGCTGCTTGCAAGCTTCTCAGGCGGAGATGTGCAGAGGACTGTGTGTTTGCGCCTTATTTTCCGGCAGACGAGCCCCACAAGTTTGCTAGTGTGCATAAGGTCTTTGGTGCTAGCAATGTCAACAAGATGCTCCAGGTTAACTCAAACTCTCTCTTTCGGGAAATTTTATATGTTATCCAATTGAAGCTAATCCATAAGACAAAGTTCAATGTATTATGGAAATCGAAAGTGATGTGCGCTAGAGAAAGTCGAAAGTTTTGAGTAATTATAAGGATGTTTGTTATCATGGAACTGAATAGATAGGCAGTTCACCTACTTTCTTCGAATCACGACTTGTTCTGTGTCCTGCATTCGACGGACTAATATTAGTTGGATGCTATTACTATGATGAATCAGTCTTTTGGTTGTTATGCTTCTTTTTCATGCATCGGGGCATGTTAGTACCAATATGTTCAATATAATAATGATGTGGAATATTAGTGTCGAAAAACGAGAAAGAAAATTGGACTCTGGAGTATGGTGGGGTACAAATGTAGAGAAAACCTCAACAGTCCTTAAGAAAAATATGAGATGCTCTCATTCACATTATGCTGTTTAGCTAGAAATATATGCATTCTTTTGGTCAAAAAGGTTTCTATTTCTTGTCCAAAGGCAAAAGCATGGAGCCTCAACTTTTGCTGCCCTTGAACCTCGAGTTTACACTGCCAAAAGCAGCATTTATCTAAAGCATATGTATTTCTGGTTTAAAGTCTCGACACTCATTTTGTCTTCATGAGAAACAGAAAATCTCATGAGGTAATAATGTCGTGAGCATGACATCACCTCTAACCTACTTGAACTTTCTAAAAATATTATTTCGTTTCGCTTACCATATTTTCACCGTAAAAATGAAAATATCCAATATCCAAATGGGTTGCACTAGTCAAGGTACAAAAAATCATTTTGAAATTAATATTCAAAGTTTGAAAAAATTTTGAAACATGCAGGAGTTGCCTGAACATCAAAGAGGGGATGCTGTGAGCTCAATGGTATACGAAGCTAATGCTCGAATAAGAGACCCGGTTTACGGTTGTGTGGGCGCCATATCATCTCTACAGAACCAAATCGACACTTTACAGACTCAACTAGCACTTGCACAGGCAGAGGTCGTGCAGATGCGCATGCGTCACTTCTCATATAATTCGCCAGACAATGCCTCCCCCTCTTCTAGGGACGGGCTTTCTTACCGGGCTGGGCCCCACTTTAACATGGACATGGACATGGCTAGCATGGAAGACTCGTTTTGGCACTAAAACACCTTGTCGTTTTTTCCTAATATTATTTCTCTCACTTTTTGTGTGTCTCGTTTTTTTACTGTCTTTTGATGGGCTCTCTTATAACTATATTTAGTGTTTGTATGAATCGGCCTTGGTGGCACGAAACTTAGGTCTAGGTGATAGGCTACAACCCAATTAGAGTCTCCTACAAGAATGTTATCTATGCATTGCTCATCTTAGTTGACTGGATGATGATGATGATAATGATGATGATGACTGATGAGGATCAACCATCATTAACTATGTTGTAAATGTGCTAATACATAATTATAGCTATGGATGTGGAGTTGACTATCCTTTATAAACAAATGTTTGCTCTCTGCTTTTTGTTTGGAGTTGACAATTTTATTTTGTTCGTGTTTGCTCGGTTCCTTTATGTTTTTTCTGCAAATGATGTTTGTTCAAGGATCAAGATCTGGTCCACTTGAGTACCCATTAGCACAAACAATCGCTCTATCTTAGCCACAAAGTTAAGATATCACAAAACCAATTCAAATGAATAAATTTTCCCAAGTGTGAATAACAGTAATCATTGAGCATGAACTAAAAAGCCCAAAAGCAGAAAAGAGATATATAATATAAGTGGATTCATAAATTTAAGCTTTTGTTCAACTGCTGAAAATAGCATTAAGGCAGCATTGAGGTTTGTGCATATACATCAGATTATCGATTGAACCTTGACATTCACTCTTAAAAACGGATTTTAATCATCAATTAGAAGTACACCCTTTTTGACAGAAACGTATACTTGAATTGCAGTAACTGGTAAAGAAAAATCTGAGACATACAAAGAAGTTATATAGCTGCACATTTTACTCGATCATTTAGGCCCAAACAAATCCTAGATAATTCAAAAGCCAATTTGAATCAAATTCTAGGCAAATTACATTCTAGAAGCAGATCTTACGATTAGAAGTGTTTCTGCAATTGTAAGATCCAATTGAATTAAATCACTGGCAAACACTTTAAAATGGGTATTCCTGCAATTGTAAGATCTAATGGGATCAGATCATTGGCAAACACTGCAAAAATGGGAATTTCTGCAATTGTAACAAGATCTAATTGCATCAAAACAAAGACTTTTTCAACTAGAACGGCACAAATTCAATAACCATGATAAAAGTACTTACTACATTCCATTCCCTAGTACTTTCTACACAAATTAAAAACGAAAATTGAAATAAGAAGAAGTTCAATTCCAAACCCTAGATCAAACCTAAGCCCTTTCTCCCCTGATCCTCCTAGCCAGCTGGATATCCTTTGGCATAATGGTGACCCTCTTAGCATGAATAGCGCAGAGGTTGGTGTCCTCGAAGAGACCCACCAGGTACGCCTCTGCCGCCTCCTGGAGGGCTGCGACGGCGGAGCTCTGGAACCGGAGGTCCGTCTTAAAGTCCTGTGCAATCTCCCTGACCAACCTCTGGAAGGGGAGCTTCCTTATCAGCAGCTCGGTGCTCTTCTGGTACTTGCGGATCTCCCTGAGCGCAACCGTGCCGGGGCGGAAGCGGTGTGGCTTCTTGACACCGCCGGTGGCGGGGGCGGACTTCCTGGCGGCCTTGGTCGCCAGCTGCTTCCTCGGAGCTTTGCCACCGGTGGATTTCCTCGCCGTCTGCTTAGTGCGCGCCATTTGATCGGTGATCGCTGATGCCTGAGAAGGCGAATTTGTGACAATGGAACTGATTGATTGATTGATTAGGGATTTTATAAGGATTGTGAGTTTTGGGTTTGAGGGGGAAATTCAGGCGCGAGGAGGGTTTTTTCGAGTTCTTTTGAAAATTTTCTTCACGTTGGAATGTTTAGGCCATTGGATGAGAGGCAGAATGGAGGGTTGAGATTGAATGTGGTGGAGTTAGTGAGGATCGGTATCCGGATGTAGGGTTGAGTGGCCAATGGGAGCGCAGAAGTTTGGTTTGTGTGGTAAATCAATTCTGACCGTCGATAGGGACGTATTTTGATGGTTCAGATCGATCCTCGAATTGAGGCATTTTACAAGTAAAAGTAGTGTTATAAAATAAAAAGTAATTAAAAATAAAAATCTATCCTAAAACAATATTGTTTTCTGAATGGAGACTATAACAACCATTTTAGTTTTTAGTTGAATATTTTTATTTTTTACGATGTTCTGGATTGACTATTGTCGTTTTATTTTACAAGATTGATAAAATTAATAGAAGTAAACATTATATGATAGTTATTGGATCGTCTCAGTTCAAATCTACGTTTTGAAATATCTTTTTGGCTTTACAAATATTTTATTCTTCAAAAGAAGTTATTTTTGTTCTTTTTTTTGTTGGTGTAAAAAATAATTCTCATTTTGAATTAGACATATGTTTCAAGAATTGTTTTTATTCAAAAGATTATATATATAATTTCCGAAATTTCAGAAATTCGGTAAAACAGTTATTATTACTATAAAATTTTCTACTTATTTATTTATTAGAACAATAAGTAATAAAATAGTGATGATGTTATTTAGAATTAAATTAATTATAATATAGTAATATTAAATAATAGACCAATTATATACCACAAAAAAAAAATGTACATAATTTTTAACCAAAAGATGCGATTGTGTGTGAAATCAATAAAGGTTATTTAATAATGTAAAATAAGTTAACAAAATTACTATAGATACTCTAACATATATTTTTATTTTTAATAATTTTTCATATTAATAATAAAATAAAATATAATAATAAATTAAACATATCTGTAAAGTTGTTGCTAGGCAAACCTAACAATTAAACATTCATACATCTCCAATAAATATACTACACATATATTGAATTTCCATACTAAAAAAACAAGTATGATATTTTATTCATACATATATCTTTTTATTAAAAAAGTATGTCTGATCAATACGCCTAATGGCTCATACAAGAATTTATGTGAATTAATATTTTTACTTAATAAGTATTTAATAAATAAATTTACAATAAATTATCCATTAAATGAAATTACATCTAACCTAAGAAATTATATGATATATAAATACAACTTGAATGAAAAAAAAAATACTGACAAATGTTAAACGAAAATTTGACCAAATATATATGTATATATATGAGTGTATATATGCTTAATTTGACCAAGTTTATAATAATACGGTTCATCTACATCACACATTTGACAAGATTTTTAAGGTTTTGTAGTTATGAACTAAAGGTTATACATCTTATGTAGTCATTGATCAATATTTTACACAAGTTATTTAGTCGCAATTTTTTGAGCATTAAATGTGACATGAAGACCAAAACTATCTCTCATTATATATAATATAGAACTTTTAATTTAAATTAATTTATATCTTAAATGAGAAATACAATATAATTTACCATTTTTTTAATATTTTATATTAGTTTATAAGATTATTGAAATCCAAATGAGATTGTGTACCATATGTAAGTAATGATTCATAAAAAATAAAATTGTATTTGAATGGAAAAAAAATTGATCAAAACTTGAATTTCAATATATATTTATAACTCATGAAAATAACTATATCTAATTAGATCAAATGAAAAAATGCATATGAAAACTATGTCACTGGAAAATGGAAGATAATATGAACAATATTTGAAAAGGTTGCTAACATATATCAATTGAATTTTAACTTTTTTTTTTTATTTACTCAATGAAAAAAATGACAAAGAATGATCTTCTTTAACAAGATAAAAAGACAAAATTAAAATCTATCACATGCAATTATTCTTGTAAAAGATTTCAATTTAGTTTTTACTGTGTATGTTTCTCAATCTTCCCCAAAACAAAAAGATTTCAAATAAACAAGACTAACTTAGGGCATGCTTGTCTATGAAATGATTCATTTCACACTCAAAATCTAACTCAACTTTAACTCAACCTCACTATCATTTATATTATTTATATAATTAAATATTATAAACCAATCATTCTTACATATCACATCAACTTTAATTCACTATTCATCCACTCACATAATTTTAACTACCTATCATTTCTAATCATTTTCAATCATTTATATCCTACTTTTACATCAAATCATTAATAATCATTTTATTTTAAATATTATTTTAATATATTATTAAAATCCCACTAACAATTAACCATACTACCTTTTTCAAAATTAACTCTAGTTAACTAAAATAACTTATTTTGAATGAAATATTTCATAAACAAGCATGCCCTTAGATAATGAAAGTTTATCAACCAAAGTTTTCATGCAATCTTTTTCATCATAACTTTTAAATATTATTATTTTAGAAATTGTATTTCAACTTTCAATATATTTGACACAATTCATTATGTACTGTATTACTTTTGTTTGACTAATGGAAAATAATAATGCAAACAATTGAATAGACTATAAAAATATGAAAGAGAAAATATAATTTAAACTCGCATTAAAATAAATATTATATATCACGTGCATCGCACGTGCACTTTACTAGTAATATAAAAAAGAGTATTTTTCTACACGTTATAATATTTTAATCATCTAAAAATGGAGGACTAATTTGTTCGTCGAAGGTTTTACGCTCAGAAAACAACCGACGCTTTGCAGAACAAAAAGTTTAGAAGAGGTTTTCGAAGAAGACCGATAATCTAAACCGAGCTTTATTTGATAATTTCATATCCCATGCATAGATGATTATCATTTTTGGGAATGTTAGCGAATAATTTGTACTATCTGCATCATTGTTTATGTAATCATGAGTCATGACAGTGTTTTTATTCAGTCAAAGTTAGGTCGAGTTTAGGGTTGATTAGTGCTGTTAAATTAAATGAGTCTGGCTCGGCTCGGCTCGGCTCAAAAATTGAACTTTTAGCGAAAATTGAATTCGCCGGCAAGACCTCCATATCAGGCGCCGACACATCCGACCTACACGTCTTATCAGCTTTGATGTCGCGCTTTTCTTTTAGGCTAAAGAGATTTCTGCTTTAGATGAACAACCGCGGGGAGAGTGGAAGAATAGGAAAAGAAGAGAAAGGCAGGCTAACTATGTTTGAGAAAGAAAATCTCAATTGCTGCGAGTGATTTTCAGGAAAAAGAAAAGCTTACATAAATAAAAATATTGCTGCAGACTTTATGCGAGATCTCTTATCTTCCTCTTTACCTTTAGGGGTGTGGTGTGTGGATGTTGTGTGATGAAGTAGCGTGCGGAAGTGAAGAAAAAATTTCGGATGGGAAGGTACTGATATTGTTGAACAGAAAATCTGGAAAAGGAATGGTGAAAGTACGTCGGTTTCCAGTTTAGAAAAAAAAAATTGTAACTTAAGGTGATGGCAAAAATGTAGAGCAATTTTTCTGAAAGAAATCGACACGCGTCATGCCCTAAATCACTCACACTTTCTTCTTATATGCAAGAGAAGAGAGATAGTAAAAGGTGGAGTGAAATGGCAAAAATGTAAATTAAGTTGGACACATGTCAGTTTTTTAAGCACATTAAATTGGACACTTGTCAGCATTTGAAGGCCGCTAACTCTTTCATATATAGATAAGAGAGATATAAGAGTTGGATCAAATGTGTCTCCATTATTAAAATGAGAATGTGAGAGTTAAAACTAGCTATTAAATAAGAAACAAGGTGTTTGGTCAAGATTTAATCATTTTATTTTTTTAATTGGTTAAATATTAATTTGACTGTTGACATTCGACATTGACCATTGACAATAGTTTGTGCCTTGTTGTCCTTAAAGTCTGCGTAATATTGATGGCAAGCCTGCGTACAGCCTACCTGTAATACAGATGACAAGCTTGCATACAGCCTACGTAACACAAACTTGATGTGAAAATATTCAACATATGAATGTACAGTTTTTACTTAAAAAAATACTAATTTTGGGTGGACTCCCTAACAACCTGACAGTAACCACTAGTCTAGAGTATTAAGCCAAACACACGGTTTAAGAATCAAAAAACAGAAAAATAATCCGAAATTCCAACAAGTTGCCTACAAAATCGGATCACAACTTCCCAAGATTCCAACAAGTTGCCTACATATAAAAAGACTAAAGCTAAACAACATTATCTTC